AAGTCGCGCCTGTGGATTCTCGCCCTTCCCGCCACCCGCTCATCATGGGTGGCGGTTTTGAGTTATTTTCAGGAGCTGCCCCCCGGGGCCGAGTTCTGGGACGCAGGTTCTGAAAGGACGCCAGATCTGGTCGCCGGCCCGGGTGGCAGGTCACGCACGGGACAGACGGCAGGAGACCTGGCTTCGGTCCCCTGCTCTGCCAACGGCGCCCATGGCGACACCCGGCGTGCTCGAGTCCCCGCCCAAGCCTTCCTCCCTGTCCCCACCTCTCCTTTCTGATCTCTTAGTTTTTTTTCCCAGGAAAACATAGCCCGGATGTCACGCTTCTGCCCGCGGCGGAGAGAGGCTCGTTCTCGGTTCCGCCATGTGCGCAGACGCCCGGGGAGGACAGATGCCATTTCAAAAGTGATCTGTGGGCCGGGCGCGGTGGTGCACGCCTGTCATCCCAGCACTCTGGGAGGCCGAGGCGGGAGGATCACTCGAGGTCGGGAGTTTGAGACTGGCCTGGGCAACATAGCAAGACCCCTATCTCTACTAAAAGTAGAAAGAAATTGGCTGGACAACTAAAAATATATAGAAAAAATTAGCCGGGCATGGTGGCGCATGCCTGTAGTCCCAGCTACTCGGGAGGCTGAGGCAGGAGGCTCGCTTGAGCCCAGGAGTTGGAGACCAGCCTGGACAACATAGCAAGACCCCATCTCTACAAAAAATTTTTAAAAAAATGGGCTGGGCATGGTGATGCAGCCCCTGTAGTCCCAGCTACTCGGGAGGCTGAAGCAGGAGGCTCGCTTGAGCCCAGGAGTTGGAGACCAGCCTGGACAACATAGCAAGACCCCATCTCTACAAAACATTTTTTAAAAATGGGCTGGGTGAGGTGATGCAGCCCCTGTAGTCCCAGCTACTCGGGAGGCTGAGGCGGGAGGATCACTCTAGCCCAGGAGTTGGAGGTTGCTGTGAGCGAGGCTGACGCCACAGCACTCTAGCCCGGGCAACAGAGCCAGACTCTGTCTCAAAAAAAAAAAAAAA